CCCCTGGGCCTTAGGTTGCCTACCCCTGAGCTAGATAAACTGAAGATCCCAGCAATGCTATTTCGTTGTCAGAAAGTGGGGAAGTCTGCTCATAATATTAGATTGTATGCTATCATTCTTATACCCAACAAAGAAGCATCAGATCAATAAAGTTTTCTTCTCTTTTTCTTTTTACTTTACTTTAAAAACAACTTTGGAGAAGTTCCCTTTATGGCCTAACTAGTGTCAACAAGAATAATCCCACTGAATGGTAAAGAGACAATTCTGTGAATCCCACAAACTCTGCTCTACTGGAACATCTATTAAGAAACAAATACCTTCAATACTTAATATAACTGCCTGTATAGATTATATTAAGTCATACATGGCTAATGTTATCAAATCTGTTATGTCATTTTTTAGTATTTAAAGAAATGAACAATACAGGTCTTTTTGTAGCTATTTCATATCAGTGTTCTCACAATATAGCTTCTTGAGTTTTCCTGGTGAAGAGATGTCATATTGAGGAGGGAACAAGCTTGTTTTCTGCTGCTCCAGAGACTAGGACCCGAAACAATGGATGCAAGCTGCAAGAAAAGAGATTCCACCTCAACATTAGGGGGAACTTCCTAACAGTAAGGGCGGTTCGACAGTGGAACACACTCCTTCAGAGAGTGGTGGAGTCTCCTTCCTTGGAGGACTTTAAGCAGAGGCTGGATGGCCATCTGTCGGGGATGCTTTGATTGGGAGTTCCTGCATGGCAGGGGGTTGGACTGGATGGCCCTTGTGGTCTCTTCCAACTCTATGATTCTATGATTCTATCACCTGTTTATCCACTCATTCTGTTCTCTCAAGGCACTATTTCTTGTGATTTCATGGATCTGTTGCTCTTCAAAAGGGCTTTCAAAACTGGGCTGTGGTTTGCTGACTTGGCCTTATTGTTTGAAAGACTAATTTTCCTCCTTGAATTTTAAAGTTTTTTTTAAGTTTAAGTTTAAGTTTTAAATTAAGGAAGACCAGAGCAGGACTGTTGATGATGGAGTGACTAGGAGGTTTCTCATTCACCATAAGTCAAAGTCAACTTTACAGCAGTTAACAACAAGATAAACAGTGCACAAGTGCCACTTTGGTGATACACTGATACACTATAGCATTATAGTAAAGTAAATAATGACTCTGAATTTCATAGGTTTTTTTTTTTAAAGGCAAAGAATACTCAGAATTGGCTTGCCATTTCCTTCCTCTGAAAACCTAAAGCACCTGGTATTCCTTGGCAGTCCCTCATCCAAGTACCAAGCAGGCCTGACTCTGCTTAGCTTCCAAGATAAGATGAAAATGGGGAAAAGCCCAAGTGGAGAGGGAAATGGAATATATTGTTGATATGGAATATATTGTTGCACTCAAGATGGGAATAAAATGTCAGTGTGTGGATGATGAGTGTTGCAGTGATGCTCTTTGGCACCCAGCAGAATCTGCAGGACAAGCTGTCTGCTGTGATCCACAGCCACTTTGTAACTCTTGTATTAACTGGCTCAGCTTCTCTTCTTCAGTATCCTGTCTTCCTCAGTCAAGAAGACACA